CTCCTTGGAGGCAAGGATTCTGAGGCTTCGTCTAACATACTTTGGACATGCTGTAAGGAGGGACCGGTCCTTGGAGAGGGACATCACGCTTGGGAGGGTGGAGGGATAGTGCTGGAGAGGTGAATTGATTCAGTGACTGGGGTAATCAGGATGGGTGTATCGGAGACAGTGAGATTGGCACAGGACAGAGCAGAGTTTAGGGGTGTTGTACATAGGGTCGCTATGAGTCGCAAGCAACTCAACAGCACATAACAGCAACAGCATATATAAATAAAAAGCTGGAGTGGCATCCACTTCCTAAACATGTCTCAGAAAACTCTGAACTTTGAAAAACAGTAGTATCGAAAGGCTTCAGGTCTTTTGTTTATAGGGTTGCTATGAGTCATGCTCGATTCCATGGCAATCAATACCACCACAACTTCCCTAATAAACCACATCATTTTAAGCATGGTCTGTGAGTTCTATATAGGCTCTGGAATGAATTACTGAACCCAAAAGAAAAATAAGAGTGCCAAAGGGAGGGTTACCTAGGGCTGGAAATGGTAAAAAAGTTAAGAGCGGTAGTATATTTTTATGTAAACTGAGTAAACTCCTGTGTGTTAGTTGCCTATGTACACTGTATGACAGGAATATTATCTTCCAAACAATCAGCTTTTGGTTGATGGTATTTCTCCTTCCTCCTCTAAAAGGTAAGTGAATTCTGACACTGTTTGATTACATCTGTTCTTTTAGTATGCTATACTGAGATGGCTTGCATGTTGCTATGTATAATTGTAGAAAGCTCTAATAGCACTGTTGTTAAGCGTCACCAAATCGAGTACAACTCATAGCGATCCTATAAACAAGTGATCTGAACTGTCCTATTGTGTGCTAACCTCACAATCTCTGATACACTCAAATAAGGAATTGTGCTACCAGCCCAAATCCTCTAGCTGTTTTGCAAGGGGAAAAGATGGGCAATCTCCGCCTGTGAGATTAACTGTCTCTGAAAAATCTGCTTTGGGGTCAGCTATGGTTCGTTTCTGACTGGATGGTACACAACAGCAATATGTGTAATAGTGAAAGCTATGCCACTGGTATTTCAAGTAACAGCAGGGTCATTCATGGCGGACAAGTTTCAAGGAAGTTTCCAAACTAAGACTGGGAAGAAAGACCTAGAAATTTACATCTAAAAATCAGCCAATGAAAATCTCATGGATCACAAGAGAAGTATGCCTGATATAGTACAAAAAGATATCCCAGAGTTTCCCACAATCTGGGTGTTTCTGGATGTATTTTTATAGAATGGTATATCATCATCCTTTGAGCACTGTCTTTTCTATAAATTGGTTGTTGGCTTAATCAAATTCAGGTATGTGGTTTTGTTTTTCTCTATGATTATTTCTTAAATGCTCAGGACACAAACTGATTATTGAGTGTAATTTTTTTATTGTGTTAAAATATAAATAACAAGCTTTCTTTTAACTTTTTAAAGTGTTTACTTTATTAGTATTAAATTAAACTCACCATGTTGTGCTATAATCACCACTATCCGTTACCAAAGCTTTTCATCACCCTAAGCAGAAACTCAGTACCCATCTGCAGTAACAAACCTTATCTCTCTTTATTCAAATAACTAGACAGCAGTAAGGTAAGCAGTGAGTCTACATCTTTCTCTCTATAACCATCTATCCATGTAAAGAAGTTTGCCCTCCCCTGTGTATTTTAATAAACATGTTATGCTAATTTTTTCACAAAGACATGTAAAAAAATTGACACAATGCTTATAAAAATACCTCTGCATGAGGAGGGTATGTCTGGAAAATGTCATAGATTGAACTGTGTCAATCTGGCCAGGTTATGAGTCCCAGGATTGTGTGGTTGGCCTCCATTTTATGGTACTATTACTATTATCTACCATTTGTGCTGTGTGGTAAATATTGCATTAATTGCTTCAAATTCACCAGCTGCTTCAATGAGAAAAATAAGCTGGCTCCTCTACTAAAGATTTACAACCTTGGAAACATGATGAAGGGCCACTATGCAAAGTACAAAGGTTAGGAGAGAAGTCAGAATTCAGGAGTTCAAATAAATCAATAGGAAGACATGAGCTTGAAGAGTGCAAGAGAGAAAATTAAAAGCAAGAGAAAAATAGTTACGAAGGTCAGAGCAGTGGAAGCAACAAAACAGAATAATTACAAATTATTCCGAGTTACAGAAGACTGTTGTTGTTATTAAGTGCTGTCAAGTCACACATGACTCACAGCGATCCTACGAACAAATGATCTGAACCCTGTTCTATAATATCATTGTTTCTCTAAGGTTCATTCTCTTTCTATCAACCCTAGTCATTGTCCAACTCTTTGATGCATTGCGAAGACTATAGCCCAGATCAGGCGCATCTTAGTCTCCAGCTTGACGTCGCTGCTCTTTAGTACTCTTGAGAGGTCCCTTACAGCTGACTTGCCCAGTGCAATTCAGTCTCTTTATTTCTTGGTTGCTGGTACCAAGAGCGATGACTGTGGAGTCAAGTAAACTAAAACTGTTAAGTATCTCAATCTCTTCACCATCCATACTGATGCTGCCAATTGGCCCAGTGGTGAGAATCTTTGTTTTCTTGATGTTGATCTTCAATCCATACTGGAGGCTGCAGTCCTTGACCTTCTGCAGCAAGCGCTTCAGGTCCTCCTCAGTTTCAGCAAGCAGGGTTGTGTCATCTGCATAACACAGGTTGTTGATGACTCTTCCACCAATCCTGACGCCACATTCCTCCTCGTACAGCCCAGTGTCTCAGATGATCTGTTCTGTATACAGATTGAAAAGGTATGGAGAGAAAACACATCCCTGACGAACCCTCTTCTTGATTTTGAACCATGTAGTCTATCTGTGTTTCACTGATTATGCAAAAGTGTTTGACTATGTGGATCATAACAAACTGTGGCTGACTCTGAGAAGAATGGGAATCCCAGAACACTTGATCGTGCTAATGAGAAACCTTTACGTGGACCAAGAGGCAGTCGTCAGAATAGAGCAAGGAAATACTGCATGGTTCAAAATTGGGAAAAGTGTACGCCAGGGATGTGTCCTATCTCCATACCTTCTCAACCTGTATGCAGAACAGATTATCCGAGTGGCTGGGCTCTACGAGGAGAAGTGTGGCTTCAGGATTAGTGGAAGATCTATTAACAATCTGCATTATGCAGATGACACAACCCTCCTTGCTGAAATTGAGGAGGACCTGAAATGCTTGCTGCAGAGGGTCAAAGACTGCAGCTTTCAATATGGATTGAGGCTCAATGTCAAGAAGACAGAGATTCTTACCACTGGACCAATTGGCAGCATCAGGATGGATGGTGAAGAGATTGAGACTGTTCACAGCTTTAGTTTGCTAGGCTCCACAGTCAACACTCTTGGCACCAGTAGCCAGGAAATCAAAAAACATACTGCAATGGGAAAGTCTGCTGTTAGGGACCTCTCCAGGGTACTGAAGAACAATGGTGTCACTCTGGAGACTAAAGTGCGTCTGATACGGGCTATGGTCTTTGCAATCACTTGTTATGCGTTAGAGATGGAGAATGACTAGGGAGGCTAGAAGAATTGACGCCTTTGAGCTGTGATGCTGGAGAAGAGTACTAAGGGTACCATGGACTGCCAAGAAAATAGATTCATCCTGGAGAGGGTTAAACTGGCTGCTCCTTGGAGGCAAGAATTCTGGGGCTTCATCTGACATACTTTGGACATATGTTACAAGGAGGAACAGGTCCTTGGAGAGGGACATCATGCTTGGGAGGGTGGAGGGACAGTGCAAGAGGGGAAGACCCTCTATAAGGTGGATTGATTCAGTGACGGGGGTAATCGGGATGGGTGTGTCAGAGGCAGTGCAATTGTCACAGGATAGAGCAGGGTTTAGGGCTGTTGTACATAGGGTTGCTATGAGTCACAAGAGACTCGACGACACGTAACAAGTGATTCCTCGCTCTGTTCTGACGACCGCCTCCTGGTCCAAGTATAGGTTTTGCATAAGCACAATCAAATGTTCTGGGATTCCCAATCTTCTCAGAATCAGCCATAGCTTGTTGTGATTCACAGTCAAAAGCCTTTGCATAGTCAATGAAGCACAGATAGACATTCCTCTGGTATTCTCTGCTTTCTGCCAAGATCCATCTAACATTAGCTGTAAAATCCCTAGTACCATGAACTCTTCTAAATCCAGCCTGCACATCTGGCAATGATTAGGGATGACAGAAAGATAATTGATGCCTTTGATCTGTGATGCTGGAAAAGAGTGTTGAATATACCATGGACTGCTAAGAGAACAAAGAAGTTTTTCCTGGGGAGGGTGAAGCCAGAATGCTCCTTGGGGTCAAGGATTCTGAAGCTTGGTCTGACATACTTTAGGCATGTTGCAAGGAGGGAATGGTCCTTGGAGAGAGAAGTCATGCTTGGGAGAGTGGAGGGACGGTGCAGGACAGGAAGACCCTCAATGAGATGGGTCAATTCTATGATTGGGGGGGTGGGTGGGAATGAGTGTGTCGGAGATGGCGAGGCTGGCACAAGAGCAGCGTTTAGAGCTCGTGTACTATATAGGGTCACTATGAATTGCAAGAAACTCGATGGCACATAACAACAACAACAACACAATGTTCATAGAGTTTTCAAAGGCATGTTGTTTAGGAAGTGGATGCCACTCCTACTTCCAAGTCTGTCTTAATCTGGGAACTCCACCAAACACTGTCCACCATGGGAACCATTAAGGCACCTGACATACCAGTGGCACAGCATTCAGTATTGCTGAAATCCCAAGTTACCTCAGCACAGAAAATTGACACAACAGTGCTGTACCGCTTAGGAGAATGTTCATTTCAGATACAATTAACATCAGGCCTGGGGCCCAATCGAATTTTAAAAAACCCGGGCCCATGCACCAGGCCCTAACTGGCTCTAAAGAAGAGGCTTCCAGCCTTTAGCTAGTCAAATCCAGCAAATCCAATCAGCTTACACAGGGTTGTAAAGCAAATAACAACTACCAAACAGTCCATATCTGACCTTCAACCAAAACAGGAAGAACCCACCTTTCAGAATCCAATGGCTTCATACATGAGCCTTCAACATAAAAGACTAAACAAAGGAAATCATAAATAAAGTGAAAAAGAGAAAATATTTAAAAACTAATCCAGAAAACACAGTAAATACTGAAAACGAAGGAAATTCAGTACATATATATATTATGTCAAAAAAAGACAATTAAAATTGGAAATATTTCATTTACTTACCCCCAACCACAGACACACTTTATCAGTAGGAGGAACAGAGGCTTTGCAGTACAGGTTATCTGCCAGTAAGAATCTGGTCTCCAGTGAATTGGTGGACTCCTTTAAAAAAAAAAGTTACAGTTGTAAACAGGCCTATTTGATACCAAGGCTGAACTGAAGACATTTAAAGTAGTACAGACTATGTGTAGGGTAAACCTATGAGCACTGGGAAGCCAACTCGGTTACCTAGTAGCTGTGTAAAAATGATGTCTCATAGCCCACCCTCATCTGTAAAGTGAGGCTATTAATAGCTCATACAGGAGTCCTCAAGTGGCACAAATAGCTAAGAGCTTAACTAAGTGATTTGGACTCACTTAGAGGTGCCCTGGAAGATAGACATATACACAACTCTTGCGTAAAAAATCAATAAATTATATAAGAGTTTGTTACTATTATTCCTTCATCAGTGACTCAGGTCTGATCAAGTAATAAATCCAATACATAGAGAAGCAATCATTTAAATACAAGAAGCTTAACTATTTTCATTTTTATAGCCTAGTTTGGCTTAATGTGTGCTAGATTAAGACACAGAAGATGAATCTCAAATCCAGTTCTCACTAGAACCGGCTATGTGACACTAATCAAGTGAGATAACTCTAATTGTTTCCTCAATGGTAAAATGACAACATGGAACAGTTTCGAGGATTCCTTATAGTTCTATAATTCCTTTGACTCACTCATTATTAAGAACAGTCAATAACAAAGTATCTGCAGATGTTGCTGCCTCAAAAGAAAACATTTTATCTAGAATAATTTCAAACTGCATCTAAATTTTACAAACACTACATAGCAGTAAAGTAATTCATAAAGTATGAGCCCTTGTGAGGAAGACACACCACACTGTTCACTGAAGGATGTAATTTGTGAACCATTAGTAGGAGTGCTCTGGAAAACAGACTGGATCCTGTAACACAAACAACACAACAGGGACCAAAAGATGCAATCCCCTAACCATTCTAATTCACTCATAGTCAGAAAAGCGCACTTACTTTTTTCTTCTGCATGTATTTTAGAATTTCTAAAGTCTGCTTAATTTCTGGAATCTGACCTTTCAGCCTGTGAACAAGAAAAAGGTTAACCCAGTATTATGCAGGTAAGAATAAACTCCAGGACAAAGTTTTATTAGCTTTGTGTTTTCTAGTGATAAATGGAGGACTATTCATAAATATAAAATTTTCCAGACATAATAGTAAATATTGCATTAGTTTAAAAAGTCATCTGTTCAAAATGTAATTAAACTCAAATATTTATGTTCATACTCTCTAACCTACTACATAATTTATTAATAATACCTGGTTAGAATGTCAGCTTCCTGAGGTCAGAAATTCTTATGGGTTTTGTTCATTAATGTATCTGGCACATATTCAAAAATGAATCAACACTTTTTTTGTAAAATTAGTTTCAAAAGTCATTTGCTTAAATTGCAATTAAACATGAATATAGGGCCTCTGAAGAATCTATTATTATTTTGCATTTCTAGGCCAATGACCTTGACACAATAATTGGACGGCATTTTGTACAGGTATTCCATATTTAGTATGTTCAAATATTATAGTCTTTATTTTAAACAACCAGAAGCCACTGGAACCCTCTCTGCACATATCTGTTTTGGTAAGAGCACTGAGCAGTTAGTTAAATGTGGGTAACCGGAGAGATTCCTCAAAGAGTGGAAAGTCAGATCAAATTACCTCTACTCAATACTCTCTTTATTCCTCCAGAGCTCCTTACTCTGATCTATTCCCTATCACTACACACATCACTTTTGAACTTGAAATAGAATTTATTAGGGACCTCTGGTAGCTTAGTGGTAAGGAACTACACTGTCAACTCAAAGGCACTTGCATTCAATCCACCAGCTGCTCCATGTGAGCATCCTCCCATGCAATTACTGCCACTGGAAACCTGCTGGAGGGTCAACTATGAGTCAGTTCTGACTCAATAGCATATAACAACATATAATGTATTAATGTTACCTGGTTAGAATGTCCTCTCCTTGAGGACAGAAATTCTCTGTTCACTGATTTATCTTAAATATCTGACACATAATAACAAAACCAACCAAACTTCCTGCTATCAAGTTAATTCTGACCCTATAGGACAGAGCAGACCTATCCCATGGGGTTTCAAAGGCTATATATCTTTATGGAAGCAGACTGACTCTTCTCCTGAAAAGCAGCTGGTGAGCTTGAATTGCTAACCTGCTTAGTCTACTTGACACATATTAGGTACATAAAAAATATTAACTGAACTTAAATGTTTACTCTGCTTCCTTCCCTCTCTCCCTCCTCACATTAAGCTGTAACTATCACAAAGGAAGAGATTTTTGTCTATTTTGTTCACTGATGTATCACAAGTCTATCTGTAGATGCTGTTGTTGTTATGTGCCATCGAGTCACCTACGACTCATAGCGACCCTATGTACAACAGCCCTAAACTCTGCTCGGTCCTGTGCCAATCGCACTGTCTCTGAC